CCCCCCCCCCCCCGCCCCGGTGACCACAGCTCTCCATTGGCTGAATCAGAGGAAGGAATCTCGGCAGCACCTATCTACCTACTCGACACTGCTACGGTGCACCAGCAGCGGCAACAACAACAGCAAGCACGAAACACGCGAGCCTTTCTACACTGCGGCAAATATACTACAAAACGTTACATAAAGACCGTCCGTCCGTCCATCCGCCCCCTCCCACCATCACACAATCTTTCAAAAGATCAGCGTTGCAGGACGCAACGCGCGCAAGCGCGCGAAAGCCGGAAAGGCACAGCCCCATAAAAACAAATTTATTCGAGCAGAGCAACAATAGCCATCAGCGCGATCCCCGCGGACATAGCCCCGATCTCCGCCACGCCCTGCAAGAACGAAGGGTTCCCGCTGTTGAGGATCTCGGGCATCACTCCGACGCACGAGACGTACACAAACCCTCCTCCCGTGACCGCCAGCAGCGGCTGCTCCATCCCGGCGTACCTGGTCGCCAGGAGCCCGATCGCCGTTCCCAGGAACGCCGCTATCGCCGTCGCGAACTGCGCCCCGATCGCCTGCCACTTGGTGCAACCGCTCTGCACCAGCACGGCGAAGTCCCCGATCTCGTGAGGGAGCTCGTGGAGCAGCGTCGCCAGCGCGGTACTGAAGCCGAGGCCGCTCCCGGACGCGAAGGACGCGCCGATGGCGATGCCGTCCGAGAGGTTGTGGAGGGCGTCCGCCGCTAGGTTCAGGACACCCGAGACCTTCAGCCCTGATTCCTCTCCAGGGGGCGGTGACGCTGACAGCTCGCTGCCGCTCTTGTTGCTCACGTGGTCGTCGTCCTTCTTCCTTCGCGACACGTCGTCGTCGTTGTGTGCTTGACTGCTACCGCTACCGTGCGAGTGGGAGTGAGAGTGACCCCCGCCCCCTCCGGTAAGCGCGCGCACCGCGCGCTCGCTCAAGAAAAACAGCATGAACCCTCCGAGCACAAACAGCGGCAGCGCCAGCTCCGACATGCCGTGTTGGTGCCCTTCTTCTCCTCCTCCTCCTCCCCCCCCTGCCTCCAATCCCCCCAAAACGCCGCTGGCTTGCTTTAACAAAGCCTGGAGCGGGGAGAGAACATCATCGTCGTGGTGATCGTGTCCATGGTGGTCGTGATCGTCGTGATTGTGGGAGTGGTGGTCATGATCGAGATGCTCGTGTTCATGGTGGCCTTGTTCGTGGTGATGGTGGTGGTGGCCCCCTTCGGTGTTCGTTGCCACGGTTTTTGGTGACGTTGTCGGTTTTGCGGGGGGTCATCGACCACACGCACGCGTTGAAAAAAAAAACGTCACAAGCGAAAAACGGAGGGGGGGTGGCCGGAGGGCGAGTGGAGCTCGTCAGGGAAACGCTTTACCTAAAGCACAACGATGGACACTCGGCTACCCGGAGAACATGTTGCACGTAGTTCTTTTCCAGGAATGTCGATCAATGTGCGAAGGCTTCCGTCGCAGTGTGATTTGACAACTAACCCGGACTGAAGCGGTTGTCCGGTGCAAGTACGCCAACAAAGCGGCAGAGCTGTCTGTTAATCGTCCGCGCAACTTCCTCTCGTCAAAACAAGAGGTATTTCTTATGGAAGTTCTGGTCCTGCATATTCTGGTGCTGATGACATGCTGTTCATGGTAGTGTTCATGCCGATGGTGATGAGCAGCACACGCCTGGGACGGGGGGCGGAGATACACCTTCGGTCCAAAACAGCATTGGTCCTTTCAGGTTGCAACAGGCGTGAAAGTATGTATTGAAACTCTCGGTATGCACTTGATTCCACTGAACGAGCAAACTCTGCCAAGCTTACTCAGTGGGAAGCAACACCCGAGTACGACATCAAAGGGCATTGGGGTCCCGACAACGTGTAGCGCTTCTCCCGACATCGAATGGCCTGCTCAAACGTCGAGGGGAAGAAGTGAACAGAGTGGGGTTCGAGCGACAATGGAGTACCTGAGCAGATTTGGTCGCTTGGTGCGGACGATTTATAGGCAAACATCTGGGTGCCCGTATGGTACGATCCGCAGGGAACGTTCTTCACCTGCTGGTCTCTTACACATGTGACCTGCGTGGTATACAAATGAAACACACGGAGCATGGAGCCGTGATTCATTTCTCTGAAAGGATTGGCCAATCTCTCCGCTTTCACCCGCCGCGTACTAGGCGAGACCAAGTGCATTGGCCATATGAATATATCACAGACCCCATTTCCGGACCACGGGAACCGCCGAAGGTTGCCCAGCGCTGCTCGCACAGCAATGTACTCAGCCCATGTGTGTGTTGGTGAGTAGTCTAATTCTCGCATGCAGAGGCAGGAGTGGCGTAGGCACTTCGCATGTTCTATTTTTATGCTGTAGTCTACAAGTCTCAAGAAGGAACAGCAGTGGAAGCTGCTGTTGCATACATCGTATACCATAGAAAGGGTTCCTTCCCAAACGGATCCTGTACTGCGGTGCTACGTATTAAACAGCGGTGTCTCACCCGTCAATAGATGCGGAAGGAGATGGAGGAAAACATCTCCCATCATTCCACCGACGGCAAAGCACAGCAAGATGCGCTGGACCGCGCTCCCCGGCTTGGTCGCGCTCTCCGGGATGAAAGGCAACACCATGGTCGGAACCGACGATATCAGCCCGGTGGCAATCGCAGCGTCGCGCCATGGGTGCGCCATGTCTTACTACGGTGAAGTAAGCACCACTTTGGCTTACTAACCTGTTCACACCCTCAGGCTTGCGCCGTGCTCGTCCTGAGTCTCGTCTGCCTGCTGCTTCTGAGTCTGGTCAAGTACGTTGGCGGTGACGGCAAATCATACATCACGGCAGGGGGGAGAGGGTTCCGCATTCTGGGCAGGTCAGAGGGTCAGACAGAGCGACCCAGAGCAGTCAGCGTCTTGAGCGTCTGCGTTCACACAGACGTTTGCCACCATGGGGATCAGCATTATGAAGCTTGTCACTCTGTGGCTCGTGGCATCTGCGGAGAGCTTGCGTGTGCACGGCGCCTCAGCTGCCGCCCAAGGCGCAAAAGGGGTTCAGGGCCGAGAGTCGGGCAAGAAGGTGTCCAAGCAGCAGCAGCGCGCGCAGGCGGCAGCAGCGACGGACGTATGCAGCGTCGGCGACTCGCCGGCAACATGCAGAGAGCTCACGGCGAAATACAGAGGAGGGGGTGAGTTGGTGTGTTCGACAAGTAGGTAGGGTTTCGAGGCTGCGTCTTCGCCTACACGGGCATGCGACGCGGCCCCGTTTGGAGTTGATCCTAGAACTTTCGTCTTCCAGGTCATGATCAGGGCCACGGAGTGCGCGTTCTCCCTGTGGGTGGATGTGACGCTGGATGTGTTCCTGCCCTACAATCACCCGGCAGCAGTACTGCTGTTGCTGGTAACATTGCATTGCCTTGTGTCAATCGACGAGGCAGTTGTCCCCTTCTTGACAAGATAGATGACGAGATGATGCGAGCAGGACAGCCAGCTCGAGAAAAGTGAAAGTGTGCAAAAGTCGTGCGGTCTGCCGGCCAAGATCTTTGCAGCTTGATCTTGCTTGGCAGCTCGCGGACAATCGAGTGCGCGGACTCCGCTATAAAAACCTACTACACGTAGCTGGACACAAGAAACAAGGGCGACCGAGCACACCCTGTCATGCAAACATCCACTGGAAGCGATACCCAAATTGCTGTTGTGGCTGTGTCTTAGTATGCTTCGCATGACACGCCCTGTGTGACTCACATACCAGCGAGAGGGCCGGAGCTCGACACGCGGCGTCTTCCGATCACCTACTACAAGTACAGCAGTGCTACAACTGTGTTCACGCCTCAGTTATACAACCTTGCTGTTGTTGTTGTTGTTGTTGTTGTTGTTGTTATCTTCACCTTGAAAACCGTTCCGGCCTCCGCTCAATACTTTCCACTGTCCGTACTGCTCCCACTGACGCGGATGCCTTCCGTGGTCACAAGCCAACTTTCCTTGCAGGGAATGAAGTACAGATGGCCCCCTCATTAACCTATGGTTTCGGCCGAGGCTCGGGTTCTTATTTTGCTGATAATCCTCTCGTGGGCTACAAATGGCCGCTACATGTATAAATATGATATATAGTAGTGTGGGGTTCTTGACCGAGCTCACAAATGGTGCTCCAGTTCTTAACTTCTGATTTTTTGCGAGTCTCAGTTTCCCAACTGCTATTAATACTTCCAAGTTCTTTAAGTGCGGGCGCTATCTGTATGGCAGAGCACCCACAAATAGGGCAATTTTGTACATGACACGGGAAACTTCGAACAATTATCCATGTTTGAGAGGGGTGGAGCCGGGTAGACACCCATCTCCCACCAATCACACGTCGATTTTGTACGGCATTTTGTAAGGCAGAGACAGATGATTGGGCGATGGGCACGACGCTCTCGGGAGAATCCCCTAAATCCCCTTGCACAGCAGTACAACACACACCACGCACACAACATACGAGACAACCAGCACAGCAGCACACGGACTGCTGTAGGCCAAGGGAAGCCAAAGGCACACATCATAGGAGGCGTTGGGTGTGGCTCTTACAGCCCGTTGCCTGCTGTCGGCTGCACAAGCGAGTGAAGACGCAAGTCAATCTGCGGTCCGTCTGCATCATTCTCCAGCCTACCTATCTTTGGAGCTTCCCACACAGACGCATCCCCACACAACAGACAAGGAAACGTGCACACTGCTGTACGCTAAGGCCGGCCAAAGGCACACGTCATGGCTGGCGTCGGAAGCTAAATTTAGACCCCGAGGCCTGCTGCTGGCAGCGCAAGCGAGGGAACTTGCGAGTGCACACAACAAGTCAAATCTGTCTGCGGTCTGTTCGTCTGCAGGCCAATCTTTGCTTCCACTACAGAAGCACCCCCGACACAGAGAGAAGTGAAGCGTACACAACGCTGTAGGCCAGGCGGCCAAATATACACATCGTAGGAGGCATCGGAGGCGATTTTCAGAGCCCGTTGCCCGCTGCTAGCAGCGAAAGCGAGGAAAGCAAGTGCACATCCATCCTACACGGCAGCAGCAACAGTAGCAGCAGCAGCAGCAGCAGCAGCAGCAGCAGCAGCAGCAGCTATATGTAGCTGATGATTATGAGAGCTAAAACAGCGCTCCCAGTCATCCCCTGACTGACTGGTGGTGTCGGGTGAGATGTGAGCGTGTGCACTGGTGACCTCTGTGGTGGCGCCATCCATATCTATCTACCCTTGCTTTCATGTCTCTCGCCGCTCCTTCTTTCGCGAAGGCGAAAATAGTTTCATTTTCCTTGTTGGACCCCTATGTACGGGAGGGGAGTCTGAAGTATGAAGTGGAGCAGTCTTTCGTGGAATCTTCAACGGTTTGGCGCTTTGGGATCGGTAGTTAATTGTGCGCCGTTCTCTCTCTTTTCTGAACAGCACTTTGGGGTCGACAGATGAGTCGCTAGTCCAACGCTGTTTCACACCATTGTGGCGTTACTGGCCGGCGATTGGTCTTTCGATAGTTTGACAATCAAGTGCACGTGGTTTGTGTGTCGGCAAGTAGCTACAATGGATACCAAACCTACGCTACACAGCAGCGCTCGTAAAAAATGCGAAGCCCTGAGAAGCACAACAGTAGTGGATCACCCGGCTACCGTGATAAGCCACAAACACACATATGACACACTCTGTGGGAATCGACACGATTGTGACGTGAGTCATGTGTTTCGTAGCCACTGCTGTTGTGTTTCTCAGCGCTTCGCCTTTTGTGCGAGCGTTACTGTGTAGTGAAGCTGCACTTGAGCAAGAGTCGGCGGGAGTCACGGTAGTCGTATCGCGCAGACCTATCGTATGGTACCTTGAGATACCACACGCCCAGGACCGATTTTCAAAGCTTAAAGAGTCCATAATATTCACAGCAGTATGGAGAGCGCCAATGCCCACGAGGATGACATTCGAGAGATTGCATCGAAACCTTCCAGAGACGCATCGGTCGGCATTGCCAACCCCACTGACTTGGAGAAATGGAGCTTGCACTGCACGAAAACCGGTGCAGGGGGTGTCTTGCGTGGCACAATTTCACCTGTCCCAGTGTATGAGAGAACCCAGCGATTCCATAAAGAAACCTCCTGCACGCAGTAGGAGCTTCTCTAGTGTTGGGCGTTGAATTCTCTCACGCGAGTTCGTATGTCGCCTTTTAGTTGTGTGTTTTTTTTTTCGGCCGTCTGTGTATTCGTGTTCACACCGGCGCAGCAAGCCAGTCGTTTGTGCAGCTGCAGCTCGCAGGGCCTCTTCTCGTCAGCTATCGTTACACGCGCCACAACGGGGAGCATCTCCCACCGGTAGCCTCTTCAGCGTTAGTTCTGATGGGCCAGGACTCTGCCAATGTGACTGACTGGCTGCTGCTCCTGCTGCTGTTTTACGGACGTGTTCTGTCACTCAGTACCTGCTGTTGCGCTAGCTGCAGTGTTGCCCAACAGGCCTAAAGAACCGCCGATTTGTGACAAGGTCAAGCTACAGTACGCCCGTTTTACACTGTTCTCCTCCGGCTACCGTGCTCTGGTGCTGTGATCTTGCTGCTACTCATTGCTGCTGCTTCTGCTCCTGCTTTGTTTTTTCGGATCTCAAAGGAAAGATTGCCTATTTTGTTTATCTTATGAAAAAGGGTGGTCGAAGCAAATCGGAACCGAGGCTGGAAATATATGGCCCCGAGGTTGTATTTTGGCGTCAACACATGCAGAACCTTGCTTCATTTTTGTGTTGAGCACGCGTGGAACTGACCACGGCTATCTCGGGGAAGAGTAGTATGCACCGGGCACGTTTATCTGCGTTACAATCCATGACGATCCCGCTCTCCCCCCCCCCCCCCCCCCCCCCCCCCCCCCCCCCCCCCCCCCCCCC